GCCAGGGTGCCCAAGTGGCGCTGGAGCTGCCTGTGTGGGCCCCCCAAGGGCTGCAGTAGCCAGGAAAACATCTCGTAGGCCTGTGGGTGCAGGAAGACAGTTGGTTCCCAGCGTGCTCGACAGGAAGCACCGAGGCTGGGGAAAGCTTCCACCATTTACCTGGCCCCAGGGGGAGCTGATCCCCAACAAGGTACCACTTGCTGCTCTGATCACAGCCTGGAACTCTTTGCCTTCATAGGGCAAACGGATGCCAAAGATGAGGGAACAGACGACGTTAGAGGTGGCCTGGGCCAGCAGCATGGAAGGGTTGAATGGACGGCCTGGGAGGCACGGGCGGCAGGGGAAGAGCGAGAGAAGACTGGATGAGATGAAGAAATGAGGCAGGGAGGGAGTGGGAGCTACACGTGGTAGCTCGCACCTGTGACCCCGGCCCCTGAAAAGTCGAGGCAGGAGGATTGCTGGGAGTTCAAGGATATCAGAGTGAGACCATGCCTCAAAAAACAAAAAACAAAAGAGCAGGATGTCCAACTCCAGGTCTTAGCATCTGTGGTGGTGACCAGCCGGGAGCGGATTAAGAATTTTGAGAAAGACAAGGCGATTTTTGTTCACAAGTGTTGCCCGGTGCCACATTGTGTGAAAGGGAGGCAAGCCTAAGACTGGACCAAATCCTCATGTTCTGTTTGGACAGAAGACAGGTCAGGGGGCTGGATTCTCTTACACAGATACCAACACAAGCAAAGGGATCACCCGGGGAGGGGATACCTGGGGGAGCATTTGGAGAATTACACAAAGTACACCCCTAACCCCAAAAAAAAAAAAGGATCTTCCGGAATTCAGAAGGGAGAAAGAGCAGACACCAGTTTATCTAAGGGTCACTAACAGGTAACACCACTGCCTTATTTATTACATAACAAATGTCTCTTGCTTTTTTTTTTTTTCTTTTTTCTTTTTTTTTGGTTTTTTGAGACAGGGTTTCTCTGTGTAGCTTTGGAGCCTATCCTGGCACTCGCTCTGGAGACCAGGCTGGCCTCGAACTCACAGAGATCTGCCTGCCTCTGCCTCCGGAGTGCTGGGATTAAAGGCGTGCGCCACCAACGCCCGGCTATCTCTTGGCTTTTAATATGTACCGTGATTTAACTCAGACACCAACATTCAGATCATGAGTGGCTAACAATGTTTTTTTGTTGTGGGCAGTCCCGATTTAAGTAAAACTGACTTGTATGTAGTGAAGTGGCTATGCTCTGTTTTTTAGAGTAACAATTCCAGTTGTATAAATACTATCACTGCTCTCCCTCAAGGGGGGGGGCCTGCCACCAAAAACCTACTAATGGTTTTGCATTTTGACTTATGTAAGTGGGCATACGGATATCTCTAAACACGGGGGAAATTCTATCACCGTCTCAGACGCTAGGAGACTCACCTGTGTTTCAGGTTGTGTTCACTGGCCTGTGACAGACAATGGCTAAATGTCAGGAAGCCACTTGACAATTCTTGACAATGCCTATTTAAGTAGAATTCCCTATGTTGAGGAAACTGCCTTTTACTGCTGAAGGGCACTTATTGTGGTTTATATATATTATCAATAAAAGAGTATTTAACACATACAACACACACACACACACACACACACACACACACACACACACACACCACAAAACAAAGGAGAGCCAGGTGTGGTAGCTCACATCTGTAATCCCAGTACTTGGAGGCTGAGGTAGAAAAATTAATTATCAGTTCCAGGTCAGCCTGACCCAACTAGTGAAATTCCCCCCTTTTAAAACAAGACAAAGTAGGGAGGGCGTGGGAGAGAGAGAGAGAGAGAGAGAGAGAGAGAGAGAGAGAGAGAGAGAGAGAGAGAGAGAGTGTGCGGGAGGGGGGCGGAGAGC